TATTACTGCTTCTCTTTCCTCCGCCTCTGTAAATTTTCCCACCACAAAGAGTGGCTCTTTCTCAGCTTGATGACTGTTAATTTCACCCACGTAGCTTTTGGCACCTCCGAATATTCGTTCAACAAATTGCAACCAATCAATAGTTTCATTTGGATCGATACCTCTATCAAAGTTTAGTAGATCCATTTTGATGCCAAAGTCCCTGTATCCTCCATGTGTTAACTCTTCTTCTGGCGTGCACTGATATTGAATTCCGAAATAGCGTGGCCGGTATTCCTTGTCGTTGATGCCTTCCCTGTGGAATAGATTTTGATTCTCATCCCAATGTCCCCCCTTTGACTCTCCAAATCATGGACGAGGGTAATCTCCCATTGGGTTCCCTCATCAATTTTCCCGAGCCTATGTTGAAGCGACAGATCTCCCTCTGTATCTTGTCCTGGGTAGGTTCCAACATGTGTTTCTGTGATGACATGATTAGGGTTTGGCTTGGAAGGGATGGTTGAGGACAAGAAAGAAAATAATTTGGTGTAGGGGTAAGGCGGATGCTAGGAAACCCTATGATAGGATTATGATTATGCTAGTTCTGATATCAAATGATATCCGAGTTAACTCGAAAAAATTTAAATACGATTATTATTGCTGGAATTCAGAAAGAAACACAACAAATGTTCATAAAATTGGAAATAAAATGTCACAAATACAAAATGGGACTCTAGGGCGAGGGCGAAGGGGATGGACTCTGACTAGATAGCAATTGTGCTGTGGTTTGAGTGGTGATGGCAGCAAGTGGAGGCGGGGGGTGCGGTAACAGGGAGAAGGGCCAGGAAGGCCCTGACGTCAACAAAGACGGAGCATCAAGGTTGGGCGGCAACAAGGCAAGCACAAAATGGGTCTGGCGGCAGCAAGGCAAGCGCAAAAGGGGTTTGGCGGCAGCAGGGAAGGATTAGGTTGGCTTGGGCAACACAGTAGACACAGAGGGTCCTTGCGACAACAAGGTAGGCTTAGCTGGGCTTGACAGTAGTTGGGGTGATGCACAGATTGTCGGGTGACAATTGGAAGGGTGTAGTAACTTGGGCGGCAACAGGAACAACGTAGGAAGGCCAAACGACAATAGAGAAGGAGGATTATGGCACGAGATTGACGAGATAAACCCCACTTTAGAACAGGATACAACTGGAGCACCACCTGTCATCAGAGACAACCCTAATAAAGGAGGAGACGCTTGATGGCAGGAACTCTGGAATCAGAATAAATAAAACTGAACTCTAAACTCAACAACACATATTTATAATGGTAGATAAGTGGGTAGGAGAAAAGCTGGGGGGTTGGTGCGGACGATAAGTTCCGCCAAAAGGAAAAGAGTTGTCCAGTCCTAACCTCCTGCTGGAACGAGACTCTTGTTGAAGTTGAACACTTAGTTAGTTCAGCCCAGTGAGCTTTTGTGTCAGTGAGGTGTCCAAATGATGCAAAATAATATTAAATGTCAAAGTAGTGACAAAATAAATTTACACAACTATAAGGCACAAGTTCAAGCAGCCAACACAAGTAAGCTGAAATTATAAAGTTCATCAAGTTCATGTCTAATATATAATTTAGTGTTTTATGTTTTGATAAATTTTAAAGATGGAAGGCCAATGTATTTTGTGGTGCTCATTAACCTGCTGAAATTTGGTGCGGTGCAACTCAAATAAATTTCTAGGCCAGGTTATTGTAAATTAGAAACATTTTTTAGAGAAGAGCCACATTTCATAAAGTTGTCAAGAGACAACAAATCTATTCCTTAACATAAAAGTATGCATCACCATATACTTCAAGGCACTTTTGGCTTTTAGGCTCTCATGCATTTTTCAGTATTTTTTTTTTTTCTGGAATCATTTGCATGTGGTGTTTACTGTGTGGATAGGGTATCATGCTTATGCCCTCTCATATAATCTATCTGTATATTTCTTTCTTTTTAATGTATTGGCCCTTGGGTTTTCTCAAGTATATATATATCGTCTTCTTCGCTCTGCTAGGGTTTCCGCTCATGGCGAACCCTAGTTCGAAACAGACATCTGTTTTCGCTCGCTCATTCAGATCCTTTCCTCCTTCGTCTTCGGCTCTGACTGGCAAAGGAGTTCGCGTCGTCGAGCATGCTTGCGTGCTGCGTCGTCTGCGTCATCAGCTGCGTCATCGTGCCGTCGCGTCGTCGAGCCTACTGCGTCGTCTGCTCTCGTCTATCACATTGTTTGCGGCGCTTCGCGCTACAGGTTCGTCAAGGCCGCTTGACTACTCTGCCACAGTTTCTGCTCGACTGCTCGCGTACCGGTTGCACCATTTGCTGCAGTGCTTGTGTGAAGCACACTAATGGCCTCAGGGTTTTCCTACGCTGCCTCCGTTGCCGATGATAATCCCGCCAAACCCTCTTATGCTACAGTGGTTCACAAACGTTGTTTCTCTTTCCACCTCGCATATAGTCTGGTTTTCCCGCAGATGTATCACGATTATGTTGCAGGAAATGACGATTGCAATCTCATAAAAAAAGTAGAAAAAAAGGCGGGTAAACCGTCAATATTCTTGTTTGATGCTGAAATTTCAACTCGTGCAGGAAAATACAAATTTACACTAGTTGGAAAGTTCCAATTAGGTTGTCCTAAGATGGAGATCACATAAAAGTTTTTGAAGATTTCAAACTGGTTGGGGATTGACAGGTGAGTCATTTCAACGGAAGACATGTTATGATACAGCTAAGTATAGAAGAAGATTACACGAGGATTTAACGGAAGACATGCTATGATACAACTAAGTATAGAAGAAGATTACACGAGGATTTTCTCAAAAAAATTCATCACAATCGAGGGTAAGCATATAAAATTGCTCAAATGGACCCCTAATTTTGATTCTAGTCAAGAACCCCCAATTGCACCTATCTGATTTTCATTACCTGAACTCAAACTTCAATTTTTTGACCTACCTATCTTATATGCAATTGAGACTATCCATTATCTTTGAAAAACCTTTGCAGGTAAACTTATCTACAGTGTATTTCTCAATGCCCTCTATTGCAAAGATTTTGATTGAAAGAGATATTACACAACTAGATGTAGAAGAAGTTTGGCTTGAATCTGCTCACAGTGGTTATTCACAAAAAATTATTATGGAACACAAACCTTACAACTGCAAGCACTGCAAGATGTTTGGACACTCGCAGGAGAAATGTTTCTGATTGCACTCACAGTTGAAAATCAATAGTGAAAAACAGGAACACACTATTAGTGCACCTTATGTGCCTGAACGCGCTCCCAGTAAACCTGATGACAACCAACTTGAGGAAGAAATCACCACAAGACAGAATTAGGTGTCTGCCCCTGGGATTCCTTCTCATGACCATACTACAACGGATAATGTTCGAACCGAAAATCAGGATAGTCCTGCAGCTTCTATTCAAGATGCATCAGCTGCAAATGTAACAATTCACACTTCATATACACTATAACCTACCGCGGTGGCAACGACTGTCTTTCTTTCTGCTGCGGTTCCAACATCAAATTAGACCGAGAATCACATGAGCCAGTCTTCAGATGAAGAATGACAGGTTTACACTTCTCGGCGGAAGAAGGCTGGGGGCACACTCCAACTTGAAAATTTAATGGATGATACTTTAGTTACTCTTGGCAATGACACTACTCTTCAAAATTTGTTATATGACTTTGCTACTAGAACTAAAGGAAGAGGCAGGGCTAAACTGGCTCGTCCTTAACTTCTTGTTTTCTGCATGTTTTAAATTTGTTTTACTTTTTATTGAATCTATCTGTATCTTTTTGTTGTGGTATTACTTTACTCGTATCGTATGGCAACGTGCCTCTTGGCTTTCTCATACAACTTTTATGTATCATTTCTATTTCATTAAAATCAACCCTTGGACTTTTCAAATATATAGATAGATAGAGAGAGAGAGAGAGAGTTAAATTTTAAATCTTGGTGGGAAATAAAAAGGAATTAATTTAAACTCAAATTAAATTTTAAATCCTGGTGGGAAATAAAAAGGAATTAATTTAAACTCAAAATTTATTTAATTCATAAGGATTTGAAAAGAATTATATTAAAATTATTCTTTTTATTATTTAGGGGAGAGAATTTATTAATTAGTATAATTTCAATTATAATTCATATGAAATTAATTTTAAATTTCTTTATTAATTAAAAAAGTTCATGACATAAAGGATTGAAATTATCAATTAAAATTATTCCATATGGTGAATAATATGATCCAATTATTTTTAGGATAAATTCTTTAAATGAATTAAGAATTGATTTAAATTTAATCAAGTAGAAATATCCATGAAAACTTTGGTCATTATATTAAATTATCTTTTTTTATTATTTAAGGGAGAATCTACTAATTAGGATAATTTCATGGATAATTTGTATGAAATTTTTTTTAAGGTACTTCATTAATTCAAAATGTTCATGACATCAAATTGAATGAAATTAAATATTAGATATAGTCCATAAAATGAATACTTTATTGCAATTATTTTTAGGATAATTTAAAAGAGAATGTGAATAATAAGAATAATTTAAAGGAATAATTCACGAGAATAATATGCATATTTTTAAAAAATTATGCTTAAATAATGAGCTAATTCTTTTCCCATAGATAAGGTGATATAAATGCAATTACATGAAATCAAATTTAATTAATATGCTAATGCAAGTGAGAAATTTAATTATCCAAAATAATAAATATTTAATTTTAAGTGGCTAGTGATGCATTTTGATTTTCAAATATTAAAAGTAAAATATGGAAAATGATATGTGGTGAGTTATGATTATGAGTAATTATTTGCCCTTTTAACTAGATTTATATACAAATTTACCCATCTCAATTGCTCTTTTGGTTGATTGAGCAGACTGTACTGATTATGCTTATTTATTGATCTAACTCTAATAATTAAGCTGTGATGTTTATGATACGCTTTTTTCATATCAATGTTTCTTATATGTGTTTTTTAAAGCAGATCTTGAAGGACTTTTTGGTCTGGATTCAGGATAACCTTGGGTCATGGGGTCCTTTGGTTCTGTGAGTAGTAGTTGCTCATGATTACTTCTCCACTATCTTTATTCTACATTTTCTTTATTGGTCAATGCCTTTAGTTAATAATTCTTATTGAAGTTTTCTATTGAGCGACTTTATATTTGCATCACCTTTCCCTGAAGTCGCCCAATTTGATATTTCAGTATATTTTTAGGTTCACATTGCGACTTGTATATGCACTTTGTTGACTATTTAATTTATGTTTTATCCAATGCTAATAGATAGTTACTGTTAAAAAAAAAATGTTATTATTGTTGTTGAAGATCATTACTTCATTGTAATTTTTTTCTAGATATGTTGTTTTCATGACATTGTCAGAGTTTCATAATGCAATTTTTTAATTTGATGTTATCACTTGCTTGTAATGAAGGCAAAAAGGAAGACAATTTCTTTTATCTTCATGATCAAATTGCTAAAGAGAGATTGAAATGATGTCTTTGAAGACAATTACCATCAATTCATTGTAATTGTTTTCCAGATATGTACTCTTCATGACATTCAGAGTTTCATAATGCAATTTTTCTAATTAGATGTTATCACTTCCTTCTAAGGAAGACAATTTTTCACATTTTCATAATCAAATTGCTTAAGAGATATTCACAGTTTCATCGTGAAGTTATATTAAGATCATTATGTAGACGAGTTTAACTATTGCTGAAGTGGAGACATGTTTTATGTTAATGCTTTTCCTTACAATTTTCAATTCTGAGATTCGGCCCTTTCAATTACAAAATAATTACGTAATGCTTAACCTAATTCGTTGCTATCATGATGCAAAACCTTTGTTGCAGGAAAAAATGTTAACTCTATATTATTTTATTTTGATTTTCAATTATTTCTCAATTGTAGGTTGCTCATTTTTTCCTGTAAAAGTTACCTGAAAGGTTATGCTTTGTTGCTTACAGGGCAATTTCATATATACCACTGTCAATTCTAGCTGTTCCGGCTTCCATACTCACTGTAAGTGAACTTGTTTTAACTTATTATGAAGCATATTGTTGTAATGTTAGTTTTTTTCAACCCTTTTAATGTAATTTTTTACAATTTATCAAATAAACTATTATTTTTCCATATTTTCTGAACTCATTTCATCAACTTTGTTTTAAAAAGGTTTTCTAGATTATGTCACCTTTACCTATGCTATTTTAATTTTTCTTATATCTGTATCAGCTAATGATTTTTTTTAGTGTTCAAATTTCATCATCATCTATATCATCTACCTCAACTCAAAATATTTAGGGAATTCTGCACTCTTTTGCTATTTAGAACTACAAACTGTATTAACTAGATCATTTTAAACAAAACCACTCATGTTGGCCCTGTCCCACTCTTTCTGATATCAGAGCTAACCCAAACCACGACCGAATGAAGAAATATTTATTATTGAATTCAAAAGTCACAACGACGACGTTCAACATAAAACAATACCAACATGCAAGTTATCAATGACAAGAATAACTCCTCAAACAAGTATAAAAAACAACAAGAAATGAGAAATAAAACTGTAGAAAACACAGAAACGGATCTCCAAAGAGGAGGGCTGTAGGTCTGACTGGAAAGGAAGGTGACGCAGTAGTACCAGAGGCAATTGAAATGGTGTCGGGCTACTGGCAGGGTGCCTAACAACAGGTGTCGGCAACTTGGAGTGATTAGAGGAGTCCAACAACAACCTGGAGTGGTGTTGGAGGGGAAGTGGCCTGGTGAAAGGGAGCAGGGAAGTCTGGCGGCAATCTGAAAGAGATTGGAGGTGGTGCGGCTTGCTGGAAGGAAGCAGCGAAGTCTGGAGGCAGCCTAGGTAAGATTGGAGGTGATGTGGCCTGCTGGAGCTGCAGGAGAGAGCTGACGGTCAGCTGGAAGCAAGGGGAGGGAATCTGCGACACTCGGGAATCACTTGAAGAATTTTGTGACAGTTTGTAAGCATGAGATGGGGGTCTGTGGCACTCTGTGATCTTAGGAAGGGGAACCCGCGACGGTCTTGATGCAAGGGATGGAGTTTTTGGCACTTGGATCGCAGGAAGGGGGCCTCTACGACAGTCTGGAAGCAACAAATGGGTGATTATGACAATGTGTAAGTCACAGAGAGATGACAACTGCTTGCTGGAGTGGCATGAGGAGTCGCTGGAAGGGGATTTCCAGAGGGAAGTTGCGAGGATAAATATCTCGTTTGGTTCGAGCTTTAGCCGAGGCACCACCCAGACCCTTGAGACGGTCACCAGCTTTTTTGAGTTACAACTAGGGCACCTCTTCTCCCTCAGATATAGCCCCCAGAAAGGAAGAATTCCTCTAAGGCAACAAACTGAAATCTAAAATCATCAAAACCTAGTTAACCATAAGAAACACAACAAGTATATAATGGATCCTAGAAATAAGAATAGGAAGGGATTGGAATTTAGAAAGGAATAGAATTGGAAGGTGGTATACAAGACAAACAATGGAATAGGAAGGAGAACTCTCAACGGGAAGAAATGAAATAGGAAAAGAGAAGAGGAAGGGGCGGTAATTCCTGCCTCTTAGAGGGCCGACCAATCTAGCACTTGACTGGTCCAGCTCATGGCAGGTTCAGCTGGCTCCCTACGCGCCCCGCTTCACTTTCCGCCCAAGGCATTTTAAACTTCATTTTGTTCAAAAGGTTTTCTAAATTATGCACACTTTGCTTGATTTATTGTGACAGCTAATGACCTTATTGACTGTACAAATTTCATCATCATCCTTGTCATCTGCATCAACTTAAATGCTTAGAGAATTCTCCTTTTATTGCTGTTTATTAGTGCAAGTTGTGGTGATTAGGCTTTTTGGACAATTCTACTCATGGCGTTGTTGTGGGTATTTTACGTTAATTTAATGTTCTGGGCATTGTATATGTTGAAGTTTCACCGGGTATTGAAAATGGATGACTTATATTAATTTTTTTATTGTTAAAGACCTTGAATTATGAACCTTTGAGCTAAGGCAATATATATACTCTATAGTCTTGCAATTGGTGGTGGTCATGCTAGGTTAGAATGATTTGTTTTCTTAATGTAAATTAATTGTGAAGACTTCCTTATTTGAGAGGCAAAGTTTGTTTCGAGGAACAAGTTTATGAATTATTTTTTGAGTCAACCATGTATGATATAATCTGGAAATCTGTGCGAACTCATTATCCAGCCCTTTAAACTCCATGTGTTGGACCAAGCATAGATTATCATCTTTTTTAACTAGGTTTTACCTCTTGATTATTAGTAGATTAGGTTTCTTGACCACGTGGATTTCTGTGATGATGTTGTGTTTATAATTGTTGGCTGTGGACCAATTCAAGTTCTTTTTATGAGGGACCTTTCACAAATTTTAGAGAGAATTTGGATTATACACTTCTACATAATAACAACAAATCCTTAATCCCACTACGTGGGGTCGGTTACATGAATCCTTTTTCTCCATTGCGTTCTATTTAGTGTCATATTTTCATTTAGCTCTAATAAATTATTATTTTTATACAATAAGCCCAAGTCTTCCTTGGTCTACCTCTGCTTTTCTTAACATAAGTCAAATCTAAAACATCTACTTTTCTAATCGGATTATCAGATGGTCTACGTTTAATGTGATCAAACCATTTAAGACGACTCTCATGTTACGGCTCTTTCTATGTTTGTCTGTCATTGGAGCTATACCAACCCTATCACGAAGATATTCATTTCGCATTTTGTCTCTAAGTGTAAAACCACTCATCCGCCTAATCATTCTCATCCTAATCATTCTCATCATCTCGATAACACTTAACTTAGTATTAAGCTTCTCTTTCAAAGGCTAACTTTCAGCGCCATAGGGCATTGCAGGAAATTTCTCTTTTTTATAGAGAATCTGGATTATGCACTTCTAACTATTATTAAATTACTAAAAATCTTATTTGCAATAAATCTCTCTCTTTAATGGTAGATGAACTACAAAGGTTTACAACTTCAATTCCTCCAAGCTTTTTATCACCTCTACTCTTGGTGGCTTAATATTGGCATTTTGGCCTTCTCATTTGATGGAAGTCTTTTTATTGAGTGCAATTAGTTCATTCTGGACATGTTTAAAAATGTGAAATTTGGAATTGAAATATTTTGTCTTAGCGAGGCAATGCGAGGTGAGGTCATGTCACAAATAAATAAAAAATCATAAAATTAAAATAATTCATAAATTTGCCTTAAATCAACATCATTTTAATTTTGTTCATCATCATAAACAAAAAAAATCACATAAGAAGGAAAAAGAAAGTAAATCTCAATCTTAAATCTAAATCCAAAATAAAAGTGTGAAGGTAAGTGCTCATTTAAAATTTGAATATCCCATGGAGATCAAAATCTTCTTCATAGTAGCAAATCTTTCTCGCAGTTGATGGCCCGCATAATTGCATCACTCCCTTCTCACAGCCCTTTTATTGTTCACCGAGCTTCCTGCTCTCACAGGCTCTTTACTCGCCTATTGCTTGTTGAACCACCATCCTTTCTTTCTCTCACTTGACTCTCTTGATTCTAAGATAATTTAAATTGAGATATAAGTTATAGTAGATATATCATATAACCAAAGATTTTTTTTTTTTCATAAAATATTTTCCCAACGTTAATTTCTATATTGCGTTAACGTCGCAATGTATAATGACTTGAGGCATACACCTCAATTAGAAAAGTGCATGCCTCACTTATACCATAGAAGACTTGAGTGCTCCTTGAGCACCTCTTTAAACCATGATTTTGGAAACTAGATCCATAGAGTCGTCTTTGTTGCTGGTTAGCATGATACCTTAAAAAATTGGTGTTGTGGTCTTGAGCCTATATGGAACTATGTTAACACACATTTCGACTTGTGGATGATTAAGATATTTGACTTGTTGAATTTAGCTATTTAATAATTGAACATGAAATATATCTTCTTTTTATTCTATATATTTGATCTTGAGAAAGCATTTAATAAGAAAATATGTTAAAAATTTATTGAAGTTATTAGGAGCATCAAGTGATTGACACTAAAATTAATTATGAAATGACTAAAGAGTTTTCTATCATAATATGATTACATCAAGGATCCATAGTAAGTTAATATATTTTGCATTAATTTTAAAAATTCTTGCATAGGACATTCAAAGTGATATATTTTGGTGTATATATTATTCACGTATGATATGATTTTAATTGGTAAGATTTCAACTATAAATAATAAAATTGAATAATGGAGTAAGCTTTTGGGTGATATGCGGCTTGTGATTAGTAGGGTCAATAGTAAGATTGGAAGATAGATATGGTGAAGATCTGTTTAGTGGTCATATAGTTTGCAATTTAGATTTGTGTGAAATTGATAATAGTGTGCATGTATTACTTAATAATCAAGTGATAAGTAGTAACAGAGAGTGTATATATATATATATCTGTGAAAATGATGCGATTGTCGCTCACGCTCTGCTAGGGTTTCGCATTTATGACAAGCCCTGGTTTTTCCTCTGCATTTCTCTTCGTCGTGCGTCGCTCTCGTCGCTTTCGTCCTCGTCTTCATTTCGACGCTACTACTCTGTGGTTGTAGGTTTCGCGTTGCGTAGGCTCTGTTTCTGCGACGTCCGTGCTCGCAGAAGACCAAATTTGACACGACTGCTCAGTCCCGACCACATTCACAGCTCTCGTTTGACGTGGCTGCTTGGTTGTGCGTCTCTATTCGTGTTATGAAGTGGTTTCCAGCGGATTCCTTTCGGTGTTTGCTCTTTCCTCCACTGCACTTTCACTGTTCCTTACGCCGCACCTCCTTCTATCAGTGATGGCTTCAGACAGTCGTATGCTGCTGCCCTTGCGGGTGTCCACGCTTCAGGTACACCTAAATCATGCTCTTTTTCTCATTTGTTTGAGTGGGCGAAAGACATCAAACAACCTGGTAGCAAGAATGAGAAACATGACATCTTTTATACGGAAGCTAAAAGTATTCAACTTGCTTTCTCGTGTCATCTGAATTTG